CAGCGGAACTTAGGGTCATTCTTCCCGAGAGATTCTATGCAGTCAGAAACGTTTCCCTCCAAACAAATCAAGTAAGCAGCTCCTCCCCTTTCGTAAAAAAACAAATGGATGGATCGAAGCACAAGGCTCAAATAATCAAGGGAGAAACAGGGAGAGGCGGAACCGAAAGGGATCATGTGCGTGGCACAGCACATTATAACAATGTCAGCTGTCAGCTACGTAGGAATATCTCATGCGAGGTTTTTTTTTTTTTTTTTTTGTTTAATTCATTAATTGCATTCTCATGCGAGGTTGTGGGCGAGGTGATTCCTGTATTGGTACGGACGGGACAAAATGACTGGAAAAAAAACAAGACTCGGGGTAAGAGGAAAGATGGAGCGAGCGAGGGCTATACATTCGGCAAACACCGCATGTTGTATTGACCGACGACTTTATCTATTAAAAGGCAGGTTAATTTTCCACGGCTATATATATATACGGGGAAGTAGGTACATAGCAATATGAGGAGGAAGAATTAAGTCAGGTGCAGCTACCGGAGAATTTATACACAAAAGACATACCAGACTGGGCCCCGTGCATAAGATCCGGTTTCTGGAAGAGAGGTAGCGGAGACGTCCGTAAATGACACCGGGGTCTCGCAGCACTCAATGCTTAGGTGACCCCACTCAATTAGTATATCATGGTGTAGTTTACTTAACTTTCCCTATAGGAACATTGTTGGGACGGCAAATAATGTACTTATGGGGGGTAGTCATCCTTATGGAAAACGTAGATCAACCCAATAAATAGCCCTTCTTAGACCAGAGTCTGTATGCATATAAGGTATGTATTTCCACGCAGAGATGATATTTGTGCCTGTTCACCTGAGTTAGTTAGATGCTCGATCTCGAGCTCGTATCAAGGTTCCAAATAACTGCATTAAAATAATTATTGATGCAACCCTCAAGAGAGGAAGAAAAAGCCCTAATTAAGGTTGCTTTAGAACAGCCTCGGAAGACAAAACCACATTTCAAAAGACCTAACCAACTACAGTCGCTCACCTACTGACAGCGAATCCTGTCCGATGGTTCTGTTTGCAGTAATTTGCCCTTGGCGTCCAAAACCTAACTCTTTTACTGGCCTCAAATCCCTGACCGCCATCAGACAGGATCCGCCTTCACCCCGTGAGTGACTGTATGTAGTGAGTCTAGATGTTAGTGCATCATCCAGAAACATTAAATTGATATAAACAGTTTCGCCTGGTACATGAACCAACAAGGATCGAAATTGGGTTCGCTCGTGATTGTTAAATATTATCAATTGAACGCTCATGAGTGAAACGTGCCAAAAACAAGCGTCCACCTGGGCAACTGAAAAGTAAGGGGTTAGGCGTGGGGAAGCGTTAAGGTTGTGCGGGTTGTCTCAGAATTGTTTGCTTGTTGTTTTCTAGAAATCTAGACGGGACGAGATATTCCAACTAACCCTGTTGCTGATCCCCAGCCACTTTCGGGTTATTCCGAGTCTGATGTTACACATTGAATTCATGGACAGTGATGTAAGTACTCTCTGCTTGCTTTATCTTTGCCGGTGGCGTGTAAGAAAAACTTTTTTTGGGAGGTATCTTCGAACAAGAGTTGATGGGAATGTCGAATGTTGTTGAGTGATCCAGAGCAGAAGACCCTGCTGGCCTGGGGGGGGGGGGGGGGCGATAGATACATGTATGTCAACGTTAATTGTTAGTGAACCCTTAAACCCTTAATTCCGCCTAGTACTAGCGACATAAAGGGTCAAGGTACCATGAACTTGTAGAAAACTGTCACATCTAGCCGCCCATTCTGAGAGATCAATTGCGTAAGTCGAATCTCTGACCCCATAACACTTGTTGGCATTGCCTACCTGGGACCTGGTAGGGGAACATGATTCCGGACTGCCGGTGTACTGACCGGCATAAATAAAAAGGATATGCCTGTCCTATAGCCATGTACTCCTCGTGGATTTCAGACACAAAAGATAAGAATCTATTGGGTTTATAATTTTATATATACACATGTGGTACCTTACCCTGGAAAAAGAGACCCTCGATCCCAGAGGAAAACAAACACAGCGATGACGATGCATGCGGTTCACCGCAAAACCCCCGAACGCTACCTATCCGTATATGGCTAGCCTTTTTTCTTGATGCCTGAGAGCAGGGGTTCATAGATCAACTTCGGTTTTGGGTGTTCGCTGGAATCGGAGAATATTGTCAATCGGCGAATTGATGCAGCGTTTTATTTGGCAAAACTCAGTAGTAGCTGAGGTCCGCGAAGAATCATAAGATGTCACACGCACTAGATCCGCGAAAAGTGGTCGAACGCAGGAGATTGTATTCGGTGTTGTAAGATTGTAGTTATGAAAAGAGTGACATAGACTTAAGAAGGACAGATGACGTTTTGGGGAGAAGAAGAAGGTTCCTGGGCTGTTTTAGACATGTATGCATCCACCTGCTAGCGTCTTTTGCATGACGATTGTCTCCACTCGATGACCTGTCATACCTGTCAAACTACATGTAGCCCGTGTTGCATACAGGTCCCTGGGCTGGCGTCATGCACATTCTACATGCAGTTCTTATCACAACGAAATCCAACAGCCTGGGACTTCTTTTAGGTTGATGTAATCGTCGTTGCGACCGATCTAGCCCGTACCTTAAAGCTAAATATCTCTATTCTGCTTTCTGCTGGATCATACTTTTATGAATTCTGTTTTTGATCCTGCTCCTAGCTATAGCCCCGCAATGGGAGTAGCCTTCCGAGAGGGGTCTGACACATGTTTTAAACCGGAGTCACCGATGGAGGGCTGCTGGTGGAATATGATATGTCTTTGAAGATATCACGGAGAGGCCTTTGGAGGGCGGAGACCCAGGAAGATTCCTCGCCGGTTGCTTCTTCCCCGCTATATGCAACCAAATGTTAATTCACCCCGCTCACGACAAGCACCGTATCCGAACTTATGCGAAATCTTCTACTCTAACACACAATTCGCAATTGCTGGATTAACAATCTGCTAGGTCTCACATGCTTCGAAGTTGGTCTCCTCCACGGACTAAGGGGTCCTATGTAATATGCCCGAGGTTGCACAAAGTTTCACTGCCGAAACATACCCCCGCCGCGGCCTGGAGATCAAACGAAAGATATCAACGGGGATCTTGATAATGATACAATTACAGCCGCGGCCGGCCGGTATGGCCCATGACGGCAGAACCCGGAAGTTAGAGCCCACATACACACAGCCCTATTTACTCACATATACAGCACCTCTGCCTGCCATTTCAAAGCACAGCACATGCCAAAACCAAACGCCAGCACTCACAATCCCAAATATATTCCAAGCCTGTATAATACGTTACATGAGATATCATTGACTCACTCCACCCCAGCCATCCATCCATGCACCTCATCCCACCACCCCACCCACCACCCCGCCACCCCACCCTGTGATCATGATCACAAACCCTCACTCGCCCTCCGCCCACGTGCCAAAAAAGTTCATTTTAGTTGCAACATTTAAATTTTATTTTTTGTCCTTTAGCCATACCCATTTGCCACGTTCATTCAACAACGAGCAGCCCCTCATCCTCTGGCGGCCTCCTTCTACTTACTTACTGCTTTGTTAGATCTATGGTATCAAGCACATCGCAAAAAAAAAAAAAAAAAAAAAAAAAGAAAGAAAAGAGAAGGAAAAGGAAAAGAGACACTAAAAATACAAAATACAGCAAAATATTAAAAAAAAAAAAAAAAAGAAAAGAAAAGAAAAACGACAAATCCCCTCCCACAAGGTCATCCCCCATATATATATAGCTAGTATACAAACGTACATGTACCCAACACAACACAACACAAAACCACAAAGCCACAACCCGGCCTCAGCAACCCTTGAAACTAGACAACATAACCACAACCATCAATTAACTACATGTACGTGATCATGAGGTTTTTTTTGCTTGGTTTACATCTTTTTTTTGTGTGTGTGTTGTTGTGTTTCTCAAGTATATATGTAGTAATGACAAGTTACCCATAATGCATGAAAGTAAAGCAGCCATCCAATCCAATCCAATCCATCTAGCAGCATGCAGCAGCAACCAAACCAAACCGCCATACAAAAAAGTAGTAGTAGTAGTAGTAGTAGTTAAAAAAAAAAAGTTAAGAACCTCCCCTCTCAGGATCAGAAAAGAGAGAGAGAGAGGGGGGGGGGGGGGATGATAGCTTATTATATAGCCAGCCAGCGCAGGCAGCAGCCTGGACCAATGATGATGATATAGCACCGGCGCAACATACAGCCAACCGCCCCGCTTGCCCCCAAAAGCTACATAGCCGTGAAAATGTACAAAAGAAAGAACAAGTAAGAAGACTCGTAAAGCAGACAAGACCCCTCCCCTCCCTCCATCCCCCCCCCCCCCCCCCGGGTCTGGTTAATCGAAGAAGAAGGATAAGGTTTGGGAAAAAAGTAAAAAAGTAAAAAAGTAAAAAAAGAAGCACCAACCAACCAACCAACCGACCGACCGACAGACAGACATGCATGGAATGGAAACCCCGGCCCCCGTGAGGAAAAACGAAATGGTAATATGAAAAATGAAAATGAAATTGGGCGGGCTGAGGGGGGCTTGTGGGGGAGAAGAAGAAGAGGAAGGAAGCAATCTTGCTGTTGAAGGCTAGAGTGTGATGATGGTGATGATGATGTGCTTCCCCGGCTTCTTCTTGTCCCCTAGAAACCCCCTCCCGGCCCGGCTCGGGCCCGTATAGACCACAAATGCAAGTGCAAGAAAAGGAAAGGAAAGGAAAACCCCCGATTAAAAAAAAGAGAAAGAGAAAAAACACGTTATCCCCCATTCCAACACCCTCTGCCTCCCTCTCCCTTCATGCCCTCATCCCCGTCCACATCCTCCACATCTGGGCATAAAAAGCAGGGGGGAGCAGATTTAAAAAAGAGTAAAAAAAAAAAGAAAGAAGTCGTCAAAGAACGTAAAAAAAAGGATAAATGCCGAATCAATAAGTTTCCCCCACCCCAGTCAACTTCTTCCTCCTAACCCCTACCCCACCACCACCCACTCCTCCCGTCGCCGTCGCTCCCCCAGCACCAAACACCCCATGGCCACCATACCGCATCGCATCGTCACTCCCATCCGTACTACTGCTGATCCTCCTCGCGCCAAAGTTCCTCCTCGGCAGCCCGCTCGCCGGCTTCGGAATCGCGCTCGTGCCCAGCCCCAGATTCAAGCTCAGGTCCTTCCCCACCGTGTTCCTCCGTGCCGCCGGCGTGATGTGCGGGAGCTCTGTGCTCTTATTACCATTGCTGTTGTTGCTGTTATTGGTGTTGTGGTGGTGGTTAGTGGCTGCATAGCTATCTATACTCGCGCGATCCCTCCGGTTCCCGAACGCTGCCATGCCGAACTCGGCGTGGGTGCCCAGGCCCATTGTTGCTGCGCGGGTCGGGGGCGGCGCAGAGTTGCGGCTGGCGGGGCGGTGCGGCGGTCGCTCGGGGACTGACAGGCCCGTGGACGAGCAGGTGGTTGCGGATGCATTTGACGCCCTGCTGGCCGGACGCTCGATCATTCCGTTTCGCCCTCCGCCTGGTCGTTCCATTCTGCTGCCGGGGCGGTCGAGGGCTGCGCGGCTGGCTGGTCGCTCGGCGGCGCGGGAGGCGGGGCGGTCGGGCTTGGTGTAGGAGATGCGTGTGGGGCGGGTGAATGTGTCGCTGCCGGAGGTGGCGGATGATGTGGTGGAGGGTGAGCGGTGCTTCTTGGGCGAGCGGAGGATGATGCCGGTGCCGGCGGTTGGGATGAAGGAGCCGGAGTTGCGGGGGGTTTGGGCTTTGGGAGGGGTGTTGTTGACGGGGCCGGGAAGTTTGCTGCGGGCGTGGTGCACCCGCTGCTCTAGACGCTGCATCTGACCGATGAGGCCGCGGATCTGGTGTAGTGATCGTGAGGGCGGCAGTGGGATGGCGGTGTTGATGGCGGTGCTGAACGACGGCCCGCGGTTCTGGCGGGACTTGGGGAAGTGGCGGGGCCGGGGCGTGAGCGAGGGGTCGTTAGCGTTGGAGGTCGTGGTCGAGATCTCAGACATTGGTGGCGACGGCGGGGTCGGCGAGTGGTCCGACTGCGGCGTCGACGTGGACATTGCGGATGCCGTTGTGGGCGTGGTGGGCGAATGCGAGGTGACGGATGACGATGTCTCGGACATGGGGGACTGCAGGCTCGGCGGGGGCACATGATGCAGGCTGCCGTTTCCGTACCGCGCCGCCACGGCGAGCGTGTTGTTGAGCTTCTCCACCGTGATGTCCTGCTCGACCTTCATGTCTGATATCTCGTCCCTCAGGCGCTGCACCTCGATGCGTAGCCCCTCGCGCTCCTGCTCGCCCAGCCGGATCTCCTCCTCGAGCATGACCCCGCGCTCGATGCCCATGTTGTACTTTTGCTCGAGGTCCTCGAGCGAGGACTTTACGATGCGCTCCTGCCGCTCAAAGTCGTCGTTGGTGACCTCGATGTCGCGCAGCTTGAGCTGGATGGCCCGGTTCTGCTCGCGCAGCGTGGTGATCTCCTTCTGGAGAAGGTTCTGGGCCGAGTTGGCTTCGGCTTTGGATTGCTTGTACTTGCTCTGAACAAGGTAGGTTTCCCCCCGTCAGCTAAACCTGGAATTTGGCTGTTTTTGGGGGGAAACAAAAATTTTGGGTATGAAAAAGGGGAGTGAGTGAAGAAATCTATATATATATATATATATATATAAATTCCAAACACGCACACACACAGGACGTACCTTCCACTCTTCAACTTCGTACCGCAACGCCTCATTCTTGTTCCGCAGGTCCCGGTGCTGCTTCTCGCTCGCCTCGAGCTCCTTTTCGAGCTCCTGCTCGAGCTCCCGCGACGACGCTTGGAAGTCGGCTAGCTCCGACTCGAGCGTGTGGATCTGCGACTTGTAGAAGGCGAGTGCCTCCTGGACGTCACCGGATTCGGGGTCCTTGGACGGCATCCTTGGGTGGGGGGTTATCGTCTATTATGTATATTGTTGTATGTTGTATGGTGTATGTTGTAGGCTGCTAGTAGTCGTTCGTTAGAGGATCGTGAATCTATCTATGGTCGTGTATACGTGATGGTGTATGTGTAGTGTACTGTACGAGATGCCCCGATAGCGTAAGAGGGGGGGGGGGGGGTGTCGATGGTTTCGGCGGTGTTGCTGGTATTGGAGGTTGGTGATGGTGCTTGTGGTGGTGGTGGTGGTTGGTGGGTGTCGAGAAATGATGGAAGTGGTTACTGGTATGGGTATGGGTATGGGTAACGGTAACGGGGGTGGTGGTCGTTGGTGGTCGTGGTGGTGGTGGTTGTTGCCCAGTTAGATGTTTTGCCCCCCAAGCTAAGTTAAGTTCAGTTCACTTTCCCAGGGTTTCGGTCGGCAACAACTAGTTGGAGAGAGAGAGAGAGAGAGAGAGGGCCTGGGCGGCGGACGACTCGCAAGGAATTAGGGCGATGAGATGACGACGGCGGACCACGAACGACGTCGACGTTCCCGGCGGAGGGAGTTCCCACGGGCTTGTCTCGTCTCGTCTCGTCTCCTCCTATCGCTGTGCTGCAGCTATCTATTTTGCGGGGCCGGGGGGGGGGGGGGTGGGTGAGGTGGGTGAGGTGGGTGTGGTGGTATGTGTGACAGTGACAGCGGCGGCGGCGGCGGTCGACGTCGCTACAGTACTGGGGGAAGAGCGAGGGAGCGAGAGAGAGCCTAGGGACTGGACTGGACTGGACTGGTCGTCGATGGGAAGGGGGCAAGGAAGGGACCGGCGGTGAGTGGATTGGTGGGTTAGGGAGGGAGAGGGGGGTGTTGCTTCTATTCGGCCGTAGTTAGTGGTTTCCTCCCAGGTGGTGGTCGACGACGTCGGTCGGGTTCGCCGGTACGGTACGGTAGATGTTTGTCCGTCGTGAGTTGGCGGGGCTGTTAATTGTTTTGTTGTCTATGGGAACTGGAACTGGGAGTGGGCCTTTTGGTGGTTGTCAGGGGGGGTGGGTTTGTTTCGATTCATCTATCAATCTACCCTCGGTGCTGGTGGTGGTTGTGTTGGCGCTGCGATATTTACGATAGAGGGGATCGAGTCGACAGAGGAGATAGAGACAGCAGAACTTGCCTGCAGAATGAACCTCGTTTCTCTGCTCTTCTGTTCTCGATCCACCCCCGATCGGTGCTGTACGCTGCTCAGAAAACGTACACCACCACCATCACTACTGGCACCCACTTTACGCGATCATGATCATGAGCATGAGGATTTGGCAGCTATCGTATCTGCTCTAGCACCTACATGTAGCCAGCCAACCACAGCACGCGCGCCGCGCCCCGTATCATTTATATTGCACGGTGTTGCGGGCGGAGAATTCACACAAGCAGATAAACGCAAGCAGACAAAACGTACTCTACACAAGCAGACGGTTTGAGTAAAAGAGTAGATAGAGTAGTTAAGGCCGGTAAATAACGGTCGGTCCCTGGATTCAAGCATTCTCGTTCTTCTACATACATATGCAGCTTTATTTATTCCCATCCCAACCAGTCTTGTCTTGTGCTGTCTTCCAACTCTCCCCGACCCCGGCGCCTGCCCCCAGCTCGTGATCCAAAGAACGAAACGGGGGTGGGTGCATTAGGTAATCAATGATCATGGATTCACCGCCGATCACGCACCGCTTGCGGATTTCACGTGAGGGAAAAACATTTCTTTCTTCCTAGTTGAGTTGTCGGGGAGACGAACCTAGCGAACTCACGGTCCATCTCTCTACTTCTGCTCTAGTTAGTGCAGTGCTCTGTTCCTGCGCAAGTTAGGTGGAGGCCCTTGCAGAGGATGCGGCGGAGGGAAGATGAAGGTGGAGTCTGTGCTTTGCGGACTGGACTAGTTGGTAATAGGTAGTAAGAGGATGGATGCGGTATGTGCTACAGTTACGGATGGGGATGAGGTCGGGGGAGTGGAAGTGGAAATGGGAGTGGAAATGGAAGGGGGTGTCGGAGGCAGGGCTTGCTTACTTACAAACATTCAAACAACGAGAGAGAGGGGAAACAAAGGTTGGTAGCAGAAGATACAAACACCACAGGACACGCGCAGATGTAGATGTAGCAGCTATGATAATGATATAGGCAAAAGTGAGTTCACATACCACATCACATCCTCCATCACTCGCTCGCAGGGTATGACTCTTATCGTCGCTCTAATCAATCACACGTCCCATCTATCTGTCTGCCTGCCTTTTCTGCACTTCACCTTTTCACTACCAGACCACGCGGGACGGCTGAGACATCACATCCTTTCTTCCTTTCTTCCTCCAAGCGAATGAAATGCAATGTGCGGCTGTGCCAGGCAGGCAAGGCATAAGCCCCCCGCATATATGCGCAGGAAGAGGGGGACCGTAGATAACCCCAACTTCTAAGATTCAGCCTTATTGTATCAGTCCCGAACGAACTCGAAACTGAGTTTTGCAGTTTGACGACTCATTATATGTGAACCTTCCTCCTTGCTGCCAGGGCGCCAGTACATACATAGGTAGCTTCAGATCATACAAGGCTGTGTACCCACCACCAACCAGCCATATGCGGAAAAGGAAAGGGATCGTAGGGATCGCTCGCTCGCTAGAACAAGGTTACAGCCAAATGCAGGACCCGCGCAGCCATATGATATCATTTGCATAGGGCTATGTAGAGTATATATTGTATGGTGTTGTTGTTGCATTCAGTCGGTAGGTGAGGTGAGGTACGCCCAGTACAGTACACACCACACACCCCGCAAGGATAATAAAGAGCATTCTAGAGTAGCGAGAAGGCGTAGTTACTGACGGACTGCCACTGCTGCTTCGCCTTTGAATAATAAGTCTTGAGTCTTGAGTCTTGAGTCTTGGGGGGAGAGAGTCTTTATATATTGAACTCTGGGGTCTTTTGCCACTATTCTATTGCTCTGTCTACATACATACATACCTACGCAACTACTACTCTGCTGGGCCCCGACCTACTTTGCTTTTTCTTCTACTACTACTACTACTACCCCTCCCCCTCATCCCCCTCATCCTCCTCCCCATCCTCCTGCCAATCAACAGCTACTCTACCGCTTCTACCAATCAACTATCTCCAACTCCCACTTACTTACCTACCTACTTACTACTACTACTACTACTACTACACCATATCAACCGTTATCAACATGTCGGACCCTACCTCAAGCAAACCGCAACTACCGCAGGTGAACACACAGGTAAATCCACAGGCCCCGCCGCCCCCACAACCCCAGCAGCAGCAGCAGCAGCAACCTCCTCAACAGCAGCAACAGCAGCCCCAACAACCTCCTCCTCCACAGCAGCAGCAGCAGCAGCAGCAGCCGCAACTCCAACTCCAACAGCCGCCCCAGCAGCAGCAGCAGCAGCAGCAAGGAATCCCCTATCAGCAGCAGCAGCCATACGGCAGCGGTCCCCCCTCACCCAGCAATCTCGCCCCACAGGTACCATACCAGCAGCAGCCATACGGCAGCGGTCCCCCCTCACCCATCAACCTCGCCGCTCCCCAAACACCATACCAGCAGCAGCAATATGGGAGCGCGCCGCCCTCACCCAGTAACCTAGCGCCGCCCCCCACCGGCTCGCCACAACCCGGGTACGCCCAACCAGCCGGCTATTCACCCGCCCCGCAGCAAGCCGGCTACCCGCCCACCATGCAGCAGCCCGGCCCCCCCTCTCCGCAGGGCTACTACCAGGGCTATCCCCCCGCTGCCGCCCCGCAAGGATACCAAGTAAGTCCTCCTCACCCCGCACCGCCGGTATCAGCCACTAACCCACCGCAGTACCCCCCGCCACAGCAGCAGCAGCAATTCCCTACCTCCCCACAGGCACCCTACGGCTACCCCACGCAATACGCAAACTACCCCCCACAGCAATACCCCCCGCCGCAGCCCACCTACGGCTACCCCCCGCACTCCCCCAACCCCTACGACCCCGCCTGGCAGCAACCCGCCTACATCACACCCACCATCACCTACCCCGTCAGCGCCGGGTACACTGCGGACGAATGCGCGCCCCCGCACTACAATGCCCAGCCCGACGCCGACGTCATCGCGAAAGCGCTCACGCCCACCAGCGGCCTCGGAAACCGCGACGGCGAGGAGGCGCTCATCCACATCCTCCCGTTCCTGGCCCCGCCGCAGCTCGAGTCCATCCGGCAGCACATATTGGCCAAGAACGGCGTGCGCGTGGTGGACCTGGTGGATAAGGCGCTTAGTAATGACTTTCAGGACGTGGTGCGCGCGGTGGTGCTGGGCCCGCTGGCGTTCGATGCGTGGTTGCTGAAGCGTGCGATGGGCGGCGTGGGGTATAAGGCGGTGTATATGGATATGGTGCTGCTGGGTCGGCGTAACGGTGATATCAAGGCGATCGAGGCGGCGTACTACCGCGCGCATGGGAAGCACCTGGTGGAGTCGATTAAGAGCGAGCTGAGCGGGCCTGTCGAGGCGCTGTTCAGGAATGCGATTGAGGCCCGCAGGCAGGACGAGAATGCGCCCGTGGTGGAGGCGGCCGTGGAGAAGGATGTGGTCGAGCTGTATACGGCCATGGTCGGCAGCGTCGAGGCGCATGTGGTGGCGGAGATATTGGTCACGAGGAGTGATGCGCAGATTAGGAGGATTGTGGAGATGTATAATTCGAAGTATGGCGTGGGGAAGGAGAAGAAGCTGGAGGATGTCATTGTGAAGAAGTTTAAGGGCCATATGGAGGATGCGTTGCTGTATATTGTGCAGGGCGCGAATAATAGGGCGCTGAGGGATGCGAGGATGTTGGAGAGGACGATGAAGGGTGTTGGTATGTTGGCCCGATGTTTTGATATGCTTTTAGAGGATGCGGTGGCTAATTCGTTTTTTCGTGATATATAGGTACCAGGACGGAGGAGCTGACATACCGCCTTGCGATCCTGCACTGGGATAAGGCGCACCTTGAGGCCGTGAAGGCGGCGTATAAGGCTGAGTTCCCGAAGAGGACGGATCTGGTCGCGAGGGTGAAGGGAGACACGAGTGGGAATCATGGGAAGATGTTGGTCGCGTTGATCGCATAGTTTCCTTTCTTTGTGGGGGCTTTCTTTTGTTTGTTAATTTCTATTTCTATGGAGTTTTTGATACCTGGGTTAGACGGCTAGGTTCATAGGGGTTAGTTATGGGGTTTTCTCGTTTTTTTTTTGTGTGCTTGGTATCAATGGGTTGCCAAGGGGCGCGGGGGGAGGGGGGGGGGGAGGTCTCGTTTGTAGATATATAGCCGTTTTTTGTTTTACTTTATGTGCTTATTTTATTACCTATCCTGATATCGTAGTCTCAAACCTCTCTCGTAGTCATGGGTCGTGAATATTATAATTAATTGCTTATGTCAGCATGCAGGAAATAGTTAGGTAGTTGAGCGTTGCATCTCCACCCATCACTCGCTGGCTATCGTTCGCCGTTACCCTAATAATTGGTCGCATGCCAACCTTATTATATTTCTTTGCACATGTTTTCTCCAAAAGACCATTAATCAACCCTTATTCGGCTCTAGTTGGGCGCCAAATAAAAGGATTATGGCCGAAACAGGCCAAATTTAGGATCGTTCCTAACTTGATCTTCGTAAGTAATTGCTAGCTAGTGCGGTATGCCTAAATCACGTGCCACAAGGTGAGAATTAATTATAAGTACTAGATGGGGGCCTGTCGCGCCCCTCTAGCTCTTTCTTGCCCCCCTTCACTCTCCTGCACGCAAAAGAATTGATTCGACACGGAAAACCATCGGTTATATTACGAGTAGGAGAACGAAAGATTAGGCTGACGACGACGACGAGGGGCAACAGAGGTTTATATAACGCGGACCGATAGCGTATTGACATTTGATTTTTTTTTTTGGGTAAGTTGTGACGTACTGGCAGAGCTAGAGATCAATTTGGTACAGTTTTTATTCAAGTGAATTTATTTAATGAATACATGTAGGTGTTTTGGATACGGTTTACATACGAAATGGCCTCGGCGGACTCGTCTCGGGTTAATGATCATGTCTCAAGCGGCTCCTCCTCCGGCCAGGGCGCAGCGCCGCCAGCTCTGTTCGAGGTGGTGAAGGTATATCCTTCACGGGGTCCAATGACACAGTATCGGCTGGCCTCGGCGACAACGTTTACCTGCAGTCGCTGCCAGCGTCAGAAGACGGCGAAGCTCGTAGCGACGCGGAATGGTCAATGGGATGCCCTTTTGTGTAATGGTTGTTATGGCTTTATTATCTCGAGGGAGTGACGGTGTTGAGATATATTGGGGGGGGATATATCCCCGATCGCGAAGCGGAGTAGTACTACTGGAGGATTATTATGGAGGCGACGTCGGGAAGTGATTGTTTTTTTTTCTCTTTTTCTTTTGATTTTCTTTTCCCCTGTTGTTTTTATTTTTGTCAATTCGATCGGGCTACCCCCACCACTAGTACTCTTTATTTCTCCTTTAGTCTTCTTTTTTACTTGCGTTTATGTACTCCACTTTTGGGGACTATATACGAATAAAGCATCTTTACCGTCAGCGCAACTACACTAACCCGGAGGGAAGTGCCACGAGAGTGGATTTATGTACTTATCGTGAATTGTGGGGGGCCCCCTGGGCGTAGTGAAGGAGGGGGCGAAGCCACTTGTAGCCGGGGTAAGATTCTGTCCTTATATGTAGTTGCTGGAACGTGGAACGGTCGAAGTCCTAGCGCATATGAGTTAGTAAGCGGTCAGCGAGCGGAGGAGGAGGAGGAGGTTGGGGTGGAGTTTGGATCGGAGTGGAGGTGGAATGGAGGTTGGTGATGGTGGCCGTGGGTGGTGGCCCGGCGGAATGGAGGCGGAATTAATAGGGGCGCAGTGGAGTGGGGTGGAGTGTGAGCGGGTGCAGTGGGGTTGGGGGCTGTTGAGCGGGGATGCGGGGAGGTCGCAGATTTATAAGAAAGGGAATCGAGTTGGCCGGTTGTGAATTCGTTAAAGAAGTATATATATATATCTAGTATTGACGGGGGAAGAATTAAGGATCAATAGGTTCCTTTTATATGTAGCTAGCACTAGCTGCAGAGTCATATCATCACCGAGTCATTATGAATCTTAACACACATTGGTATTGGGAACAGATGCATATGGCAAAGGGCAACAGCTCAGGAGTGATGGTTAGATCAAGTCGGGACTTTAGAGCGCGTGCACCTGGGCTTTAATTAGCTATATATATTCTGCTCGCTAACCTGCCCGGTGTGTGTGCAGTCATGCGGTATCACTCGAGTTACATAGTTTATATATATATGTACCCGCCGGGGAATCGAATCGATGAGGCCGCCGGTGCGGCGCGGCGCGGCGAGTTTCCCCCTGAATTAAGCCCGCTCTGCCAACCGGCCAGCTGACAGCTGAGATCCGGGGCAGGATGTTGTGGTGTTTCGTAGTTAGCGCTCCCGGCCTCATCTCACACTCTGAAGCTTAAGGTCTTGGTGATCGATCCGCGACTGGGTAGGTATTTTAGTCAAAGACATGCAATATGTAGGTACGTACACGTCGTTACTCTACTCTCTTCTACTCTGCTCTACTCGATCTGCCTGTAGAATGGGTGGAAGGGTTGGCGGCGTGCGGGAAAGTGTCTCGGCCGTAATTAGTGTACCTACACTTCCTGTTGGTGGCTGCGCGCGCTTATTGGTTGGTACGCGGTGGTGAGATTGGCCGTCATTTTGTGGGTGTTTCAGATCGGCCGGCCGACCGGACGGGAGCTGGCCCTGGATGGATGGTGGATATTGGTTGGGTAACGTATGTACCTATTGGGGGAGGTATTTGGGCTTGGGGGTTTTGCATGTAATTGTATTTGAGATTTGAGATTGACATTGTCTACCTAGCTAGCTAGCTGATGGATTTGTTTTGTACTGCTATTGAAGGGTCGTTTCGGAATTCGGATATTAGTTGTATTCGCGAATCCGGGGATGACCCCCACGTGCACGCTGGTGGGTATTTATTTCAATGGGCGTGGAGTTTGGGGGGAAATCGAATGTTTACGTGGGGATATCAAGACTCAATGTTTGTCCAAAAACTCACAAAGGCGTAAAACTTCAGCATGGTGGGTTTTTTTTCTTTCTCTACCCGCATATTCTGAAAGATCTCAATGTAGGTCCTTGTATACTAACCACAGGTACGTCTGGCGTTGGTAATGTAGATCGATGAGCATGAGGTAGATTAGAAATAGGACTAGGTTTACGATTCTCAATATCCGTTCCAGCGCTCGTCCTGGCAGTATACTAGCGCGTCGGGACCACATAGGGCATATGTTAGAGCCATATAGCGATCCCATCCGCGGAAGCTTGTTTTTTGTATCATCGACTATCACTCGACGATTGTAGCAACTCCTGCTTGACCTGAGACTAAAAATATTCGTATTTCTAGCTATCAGTACTTCGGGGTTGGGGATAAGTGAGAAGACACCTTCGCCCAGCCTCCGCAAGCAGGTATTTTCTCACTTACCCCTACACCCAGAGTACTAGTACATGTTCTAGGTACGAAGGCGGGGTTGGAGTCTAAACACGTATGGCTACGCGCGGCGGGTGTGTCGTGTGGGGCCGGGAACAAAAAAGTGGATTTGTTTACCTGAGCAGGGGTCGAACGCCGGCCTCGCTAGCACCCTCGCTGTCGTACTTGTTTCCTTTCGAGGGCAGCCCCAACACATTCGACACTTATGCTACAGGACCTGGGTAGGGCTTTGTGCTGAGGGGATGGTAAAGACATAGCGTTCTACAGGTATATGTATACTATGTAAGATCTTGGCACACTACCAAGGTGATGTAAGTTGAATTCAAGTATTACTACATGTAATTTCAGCGCAACACCATCCAACATGGGCGAGTGGCTGGTCTGCTCGTGGTTAGACTGCACGTGCTCGTCGGGGTTAGACACTGAGTGTTTAACCAGGGTTGGGGGTAGCAATGCTCAATCAGAAATAAGTCTTTGCAGCGCCTTTTGTCTATCGAGCCTTGTGTTATTTCTTCTCTTTCTTTCTTTTCCTTTATTCCGGCGTGAGGTCGAGCGTTTAGACTGTCTATTTTGAAGCATAAATGTAGCGAACTGTGTCATTTATTGCAGAGCACTTATACCGAAAACAAACGGTGTAATTTTAGCTAGACCTTTTCCGTAATAAATAATATCGGCCATGATCCTGATGCATGCGTGAGGAGGTAAAAAATCTCCCCCGCCATCAGAAATTTCGAAACTCCAACACGAACAGCAGTACGGAACGTTAACACAGCCTATAACGTTTTATTCGGGCTGTTTCGTCTGTCTGGGGCCTGAGCGTATTTGGGGTGTACTATTATCTCGAGAATATTGCTCTGGCTCTTCTACTCTATTGCTTGCTTGGATGACTGGATGAGTATATGACGGACTTAAGGAGCGATAATCGGTAGAGGACACGAACGACACGCGTCGCTGGGAGGTTTGGCTGACCGATCCCTTGCTCACCTGTTGGCCAAAGGACAGGTCATAGTGGGCACCGTGTCCTTGGTAGCTAGTAGCTACATGGAGTGTGTTTTCGCCTATTTCCTTTTGTGTCTTGCTTTCTTTTTGTTCTATAGGCCTACTTTATCTCCATTCTTATACTATCACTCGAGCTTGTCTAGTTCACGAACAGAGCTTGAGCCCAGTTCTATCCTGTGATTCACAGATGACCAAAGTCTTATGCTGAACTCCAAAGCGCCTAATCCGGTACTCTACCGCACAGCACTCAAAGGAATTACCTACTAGCTCGTGTAGAAACAGGATTATTGTTGGCGGTGAGTTTTGTCGTATGGCAATCGAACTTAATTTGAACAGGGCTGACAGCGTCACAGTATATCACTCGGATGTAGTTACAGAGTGCTACATGCCAAGACCAAGGACAGACAACCACCAAGACGACCATGCAATACCGACTTTACAGTACAGTGAAATTTGTGGGGCGCCGAAATTTTAATCCTGGTTTACACGGTAGCATAGTGGCGGATGGGATTTAGCAGCAGTAGTGGGATGTTGGGGGTCAAATCCGGGCTAGGGTGCGTTTGAATTTAATCCCATAGGAGGCTTCCTTTTTTGCTTCTTGTGTCTATTCTGACTGCCCCCGGAGGGGGGGGGGGGGGGGAAGGGGTCTCCGTTAAACCTTTGACCTAAAAGGATGGTATGCTGATTGGAAATTGCTGGAATAGGGCTTCAACCGGATATTCACTTGAAGGATTTTTTCTTCTATTTTCAGCAGGTGGGGGCATCTAGACTCACCTCGAAGGATCGCTCCTAGATGACGCCAGAAACACCACAAATATCTCCTACCTATATTCAAAAGCATCTATAATGCATAATAAAATCCGGACAATTCGCACTGGCTCTCCACGCCCAAAAAGAACATACCTACACGCATATACACTAACCAGCCCCATTAATGCTCCTCTCCCTCCCCCTCGAAATCCTCTACGAAATCGCCAACACCCTCCCCTCCGCCCCCCTCCTCAACCTTCTCCTCTGCTCCCACACCCTCACCCGCCTCCTCCTCCCCATACACACCAACCTCCTCGCCACCCACGACAAAGACCACATCCCCGCCCTCTGCCGCGCCCTCATCACCGGCACCCTCCACCCCACCCTCCTCCGCCGCCTCCTCGCCCTCCCCACCCTCACCATCAATACCCGCTACCCCGGCCTCGCCACCTGGCGCTTCCCGCACCTCCCCACCCGCGACCCAACCCGGCGGCGGCACTGGTGGTGGACGCCCGGCGCAACAGCGCTCTATATGGCCGTGCAGCTGCGCGACGAGCGCCTCGTCCGGCTGCTGCTCGCGCACGGCGCAGACCCTACGATTAAGGCTGGGGGCCGGCGGAAGAATAGTCCGCTGTATGAGGCGGTTGTGCCGCGGGGGGCGGGGGCGGGGGGCGTGGGGTTGGTGTTGGCGAGGCTGTTGGTGGAGGCGGGGGCGGACGCGGCGGATTGGGTGGATAGGAGGAGGGGGAGGAGGCCGCTGTTGCATGTGGTGGTGGCGAGGGGGGATGTAAGTATGGTGAGGCTGCTGTTGGAGTATGGGGCGGATGTGGGTGCGAGGGAGGTGGTGGGGGGGAGGGAGAGGGGCGTGTGGGAGTTGGGGATTAGGTCGGGGGTTATGAGGAGAGTTGTGAGGGATGCTTTGGAAGACCGGGGAATGCTGGAGGTAGGTGGTGGTGGTGGTGATGGTGGTGGCGGGGCTAGGATGTTTGTGAGTTAGAAAGTAATATATGTAAATATATATATTATCAT